AGGAGCGAGGAGCGAGGAGCGAGGAGGAGGAGGAGGAGGAGGAGGAGGAGGAGGAGGAGGAGGGGGAGGAGGAGGAGGAGGAGGAGGAGGAGGAGGAGGAGGAGGAGGAGCGAGGAGCAAGGAGGAGGAGGCGCGAGGCGCGAGGCGCGAGGCGCGAGGCGCGAGGCGCGAGGCGCGAGGCGCGAGGCGCGAGGCGGATCGCCAAGGGTGCCTACGGCCGGGCCGGCCCCCCCGCCATCCGCACTGGCCGCGAGGCCCCAGGAGCTGTCCCCGGCGTCCCTGCGGCAGCAGCGGCTCGGCAGGGGCAGGGCGCGGCGCGCCGAGGTCCCGCACCACGAGCGCCAGGCACTGTCGGCCACGCGCAGAGGGGGGCGGGGGGAGGATAGGGGTAAGGATAGGGGAGGATAGGGGTAAGGATAAGGATAGGATAGGTAAGGATAGGGGCGGCTGCGGCCGGGGGGTAAGGATAGGGGGAGGATATGCATAGGGACGGATCCATCGACCCCCAATCGCCCATTGATCGCCGATGGGGGTCTGGTAGCCCCGCCCCGCCCAGGAGGGTCCAGTTTCGCTATCGGGGGCCTATCGCAGATCTATCAGCGATATATCGCTGATTCCAGGTCGATGCATCCCCCCTGTTCCAGTCCCCCCCTGTCGTTGCCCCTCGGGGAGGGGGTGGGGGGAGGGCTTCTTAGAAATACCCTTGCTTCTTAGCAGGCGCGGGCCTTATCTGAAGATGTAGGGCCTGCGCCTTTGAAACGTAGCCTCCTTCTAGGAAGCCTTCCCGTGCCCCCGAGTGCGCGCCGCCAACACTGGGACAGGCCAGCCACAGCTGCCAGTCGGACGAGGTTCGAGACTCGAGGATCGAGGTTCGAGGTTGGAGGATTGAGGTCTGGACTCTCGGGGGGTCGGAGACCCTGGAACTAGACCCGAGTCTGCTACACACCAGCAGAGGCACGGGGATCGATGCTATTCCATATTCTGTGCATGCTTCACATATTTGTTGTCTAGCTGGTAGACTGATTGCTCACCCATGCCCTGCACAGGGCCGAGCAGCCGTCGGGCATGCTCGCGTGGCTCGCTCGGGTGGAACGGAACGGCTTCGAGGCCTTCGGGTGGAACGGAACTGCTTCGAGGCCTTCGGACGTCTTCGTCGGTTCTCGTCGGCTTTCTGGCCTCGGGGTGCGCTTCCAGCGGCTGCGCCTTGTCGAGAGCGTGCCAGGGGTGCCCGAATCGTCCCGAACGGCCGCCGGCTGCCCGAGCTATGGCCCGAGCGCCAGGAGAGTCGGGGATCTCGAGAGTAGGAGTTTTTCTGAGTTCGTTTCGGCCCCAGGGGCCCCCGGAAATCGACCTGGGTGGACTCCGTGAGGTATCCGCTGATGGATTTTGAGCGGTGTTTGAAGGAGCTTTGTCGGGGTCAGGTTCGCGCCGTTTCGACGCGCGCGACCCCAGCGCGGGCGTTCAGGGTTCATCAGCTCGTAAAAGAATTGTCATACACCTTAGGCGATGCTTAAGAAAACTTAAATTTTCGGCCAGAGTCTCGACTATTCTTAATGTTTCAATGTAAATCCTAAGATTTGAATAGAAATTCTGGGTTTTTATTCACGTTCTGAGACTCTGAATTTCTTAACCCATGATTTCTTAAGCATTTCGCAGGGTGTAAGCATGATTCTTGAAAGGTCCGCGCGTATTCCTCGGACCGGCGAAAGGGGCCCCCCCCGGGCGCCCTCCGCCTTTGTCAGGGCGGGGGTCCAGCGCCGATTCGAGAAGCCCGCGCGGACCATTCAGGAGGGAACAAACACACACAGACACAATTCATCGTCGCTTCCCCAGAAAATATGGGAAAATATGGGAAGTGGGGGGAAGGCAGAAACCCAGAAAATATGGGAAAATGTGGGGAATCAATCATTTTATTTGTGTGTATTTATTGGTGTGTCCTGGGGCCCCTTCAACCATGTGATGTTGATGCGGCGTCAGGGGGGATTTTTGATCCGGGGGGAAGGCATCGACCCCCAGTCGCCGCTTTACCCCATCAGGAGGAGGAGGAGGAGGAGGAGGAGGAGGAGGAGGAGGAGGAGGAGGAGGAGTAGGAGGAGGAGGAGGAGGAGGAGGAGGAGGAGGAGGGGCCCGATGGCCCAGCCCGCCCAGAAGCGTGCGGACTCGCTCTCGGTTGGGCGCCTCTCTACCACTCCCCCTCGAGCCGGGGGAGCTGTGGTCCTAACGGCATGCTCGCGGCGTGCCGTCGCGCCTGCGACCCCAGCGCGGGCTTTCAAGGTTGAGCGACGTCAATGGCTTGGGTTCGGCCGACATCGAGCGATCGGCGCTGTCGGGAAGCCGCGTTCGTGTACGTTTGAAGGATCCACGCGGTGTCGGAAACCGGCGGCGCAAGTCGTTATGACACGAGTGTGCATTGGGATCGTCGCGTCCACTGTCATGATCACGAGCTTGCCGTGAACTCACGGCACGAACCTGCCGTACCCCCCTGGGGGGACCCATCGATTTCGACGCCCCTCGAGAGATCGTAGGCACGGTGGGTTCCCACGTCTCCCCCCCGTTGTGGCTTGTCGGGGGGCGGCCTGCGACCAGCGCCGCCGTGCAGCGAGGCTCGAGGATCGAGCATCGAACATCGTCGGAGGAGGAACAGATGTTGATACCTCTGCCGTTCCCTCGTCGCCACGGCTCGGTTCGCCTCGAAGTCTTTGCCAAACGCGCCCCAGGAGAGGTCCAGGGAGAATGGGTCACCCCTTCATTTGACCCCCCCCACACGTCTGAGACTTCGGATCGGGAATCGATGCTCAAGGTTCAGGGGTTGCCTTTCTCGGGCCTCCGGAGGCCTCTGGAAACTGCCGGAGAATTTGTGGGGAGGTCCTATGCGGGAATCTCTGGAGAGGGGCATCGTCGTCGCCGCCGTCACCGTCGCCGCCGCCGTCGCCGCCGCCGCGGCCGTCGCTGTCGTCGCCGCCGTCGTCGCTGGCTCGGTTGTCGCCGTCGCCGTCGCTGGCGCCGTCGCCGCCGTCGTCGCTACTTTGGGTTGTCGCTATCCTCTGAGGCCCGATGTCGTTTCAGGAGCCACAGCATCGTGAGAACATCACGGCTGGGGCCCTCGGCCCCATTGCTTTTTTGGGGCGCTGCCACGGGTCGAGAATGCCGACTAATAATACCATTACGGCGATTAATAATACCACTACGGCGACTAATAGTACCACTACGGCGACTAATACTAGTACGGGTAATAATGCGAAAACTACGAAGAAGCATACTAATATGAAGACTATTCCTACTAGTAAGAAGAAGACTAACATGACGAATAATACAACAATTCAGACGAATACTAATAGAACTACTAGTACGAATAATCATCGGAATAATATGAAGACTAAACATAACACGAATAGTAATACTCACAATGCGAATGATATTACTACCAATAATACTAATACTACTAGTAATCACAATACTGATAATAACATGAAGAATACTAAGAGGAGGAGGAGGAAGAGGAGGAGGGGCAGGAGGAGGAGGAGGAGGAGGAGGAGGGGCACGAGGAGGAGGAACTGAGGAGCAGAGGAACAGAGAAGGAGGAGGAGGAGGAGGAGGAGGAACAGAGGAGGAGGAGGACCAGAGGAGGACCAGAGTAGGACGAGAGGTGGACCAGAGGAGGAGGAGAGGAGAGAGGAGGAGGAGGCGAGGAGGAGGAGGAGGAGAAGAGGAGGAGGAGGAGGAGGAAGTGGAAGTGGAGGAGGAGGAGGTGCAGTAGCAGGAGGAGGAGGACGAGGAGGAGGAGGAGGAGGAGGAGGAGGAGGAGGAGGAGGATGGTACGACCCCGCCGACCCCCCGACGCCTCTGTGGAGACGCCGCGCGGGCCCCGGCCGAGCCCCCCCACCCACCCCGAGGCCTGGCTCGAGATCCAGCGCGCGTTCGACGTCCTTGCCAACCCCAGGTCGTCCGCCACCGCCACTACGGCGACGACGACGACGACGACGACGTTGTCGACGACTGCGACGACTGAGACGACTGCGACGATTGAGACGATTGAGACGATTGAGGCGACTGAGGCGACGACGACGACGGCGACGACGTCGACCTAGACGACTGAGACGACTGAGACGACGACGATGACGACGACGACGACGATGCGAGAACGACAATGACGACGACGACTTAGACGACGACTGAGACGACGACAGATGACGACTGAGACGGCGACGGAGACGACTACGGAGACGACTACTGCGACGGTGGCTGAGATGACGACTGAGACGACGACTGAGGCGACGATTGAGATAGCGACTGTGACGGCGACTGCGACGACTACTGAGACGATGACGCAGACGACGACGATGACGACGACTGCGACGACGAAGACGATGGGTTTTAAACGCGTTTCCACGGTGCCACGGGGGGCGAGACCCGCTCCCCCCGCGGCCGAGCGGCGCGCGTGGCAGCTCCGCACGCGCCGCTCAGAGTTCCACGAGCCCGCGCGGGTTTCCGACCCCTCCGCACGCCGAGACTGAGCTCGGTGGGGAAAAGGCGCCCACACCTCTGCCCTTCCCTCGGTTCCCCCTTCTTCGGCCTCCCGGGAGGCTCTCGCCGCCACCGCCGGGTTCGCCTCGAAATTCTGGTCAGCACGCACCCCGGAAGAGGTCGGGGGAGCAGCGGTATCGGTACCGCAGGCGTCGTCCTCGTGCTCCCCCTCGGGAGCTCCGCCCTCCGTGGCCTGCTCGCTGAAGCCGCCCTCCTTTTGCTCGCCGCCCTCCTGCCCGAAGGAGGCCAGCAGGTCGTCCAGGTCATCTCAGGAGGGAAAAAAACACACAGACACAATTAATCCTCGATTCCCAGGAAAATATGGGAAAATATGGGAATTGGGGGGGGAGACAAAAACCCAGAAAATATGGGAAAATATGGGGACTATTTTTATTTGTGTGTATTTATTTGTGTGTCCTAATTTCCCTTAATCGTCGCCCAGATCGACGCTCTGCTTCCCTGCCAGCTCCACCACGGCGCGGGCCGCCTCACGCAGGGAGCCCCCCGCGTCGAGTCGATGTCCAGGATCTGCGCCCCGCCTCTGCACGGGGCCCCGAGCACCTCGCCCTCGCCCCAGGGCTCCTGGTCCGAGCCGTCGCCCCCCTCCCTGCTCTCCAGGGCGCTGTCCTCTCCCTCGAAGTCGGGGCTGCTGCCATTGCTCCCCTCCGCCTCCTTCTTCCTAGCTTCGGCCTCAGCCGCCGCCAGCGCCACGGCCTTCGCCAGGAGCGCGTGCTCGCTGTCCGAGGCCTTCTTGGCCAGCTTCTCCTTGGCTGCGTTCTTCGCTGCCTGCGCCCGCGCCAGCTGCCCGCGGCCAGCGGCCGCCTCGGCGACGGCCTCTTCCCGGGCATCGTTCTCCTGCCGCCCGCCCTCCAGCGCGCCGAACGAGCTGCCGCCCTCAATGCTGGGTCCGTTCTGCTTGACCTCCGCGCCTGCACGTGCCACTCCGCGGCCCCCCGTCACCTGGACCCGGGTGCCGCCCTCGTCGGCGTGCAGGCCCCCGCCGCCTGCCGCCGCCGCCACCTCGCAGGGCGGGACATCGCGCCGCAGCTCGCACCCTGCCTGCGGCAAGGGCTCCCTAGAGGGCGCGAAGTTATTCGCGCTTCGCGCTTCGCGGTCCTCGTTCCTTCTCCCCCTCCTCCTCGTCCTCCTTTTCTCCCTTTGGGAGGGCGGCGCGAGAGCGCGAAGTTATTCCGCGAAGTTGGGAGCCCTAGGCATCGGTTCCGCCGCCGCCCGCGGGTGCAGATGGATGCCCACCGCTGGCACGCATCCCATGCCGCCGCCGAGCCGCCCAGACCGCGCTCCCGCAGCCATGGCACCAGGCGCCCTCGAGGGCGCGAAGTTATTCGCGCTTCGCGCTTCGCGGTCCTCGTTCCTTCTCCCCCTCCTCCTCGTCCTCCTATTCTCCCTTTGGGGGGGCGGCGCGAGGGCGCGAAGTTATTCGCGCTTCGCGCTTCGCGCAGCGCGAAGCGCGAAGCTGGGAGCCCTAGCATGGCACCAGGCGCCCCCCGGCTGACAGCGCCATCGCGGCCGCGAGCATCGCCTCTGGAGCCAGTCCCGGCCCGAGACTGGCCTCCCAGGCCCTCGAGCGGGAACTCCGACTGAGACGATGACGACGATGACGACGACGACGACGGCGGCGGCGGCGGCGACGACGACAACGACGACGGCTGAGACGACTACGACGACTGAGACGACGGCTTAGACGACGACTGAGACGACGACCGAGACGACGACGACGACGACGACGATTGAGATGACGACTGTGACGACGACTGCGACGACTACTGAGACGACGACTGAGGCGACTACTGAAGAGACGACGACGACAGCGACAGCGACAGCGACATCGATAGTGACCAACGACGGCGTCGGTCGTCGTCGTCGGCGTTGTAGTCGTCGTCGCCTCCAGTCGGCGCCGTCGTGGTTGCCGTCGGCGTCAGCGCCAGTCGGCGCCGTGGCCGTCGACATTGGAGGACGGATGGTGACGAACATGAAGGTGAGGAAGATGCTGGTGTGGTGATGGTGATGATGAAGGTGGCGATGTTGGTGGTGATGATGGGTTGTTAGGGTGCTGATGGTGTTGACGATGGCGATGATGCTGCTGCTGATGATGGTTGTGATGATGCTGATGATGATGATGCTCGTGAAGTTCAGGGCCCGCGGGCGCGCTCGACAGCCTGTTCCGATGATGATGCTGATGCTGATGATGGTGACGATGATGTCGATAACAACGATTATGACGATTATGTTGATGACAATGCTGATGCTGATGTTCCTGCTGCTGGTGTTGGCCATGATAACGAGGATGCTGATGGTGATGATGATGCTGATGATGGTGATGATGCTGATGCAGGCGATGATGAATAGTAAGATTATTATGTTGATGATGCTGATGATGCTGATGATATAGATAAAGCATACTATTTAGGATGCGATGCGGAGGTTTACCGATGCTGCTGCTGATGCTGCTGATGATGATGATGAGGGTGATGGTGATGGTAAGGATGATTATTTTCATGACGATGATGGTAGGTATGCTGCTGATGATGGTGATGATGCAGATGATGATGATGATGATGATGATGATGATGATGATGATGATGATGCTGATGCTGAGGCTGATGCTGATGCTGATGCTGATGCTGATGCTGATGCTGATGCTGATGATTCTGACGATGATGATGCTGCAGCTGATGCAGCTGACGACGATGATGATGCTGATACTGGTGCTTATGTTTTGGATGCTGATGCTGCTGATGATGCTGTTGCTGCTGCTGCTGATGATGATGCTGACGATGGTCATAGTGGTTGCGATGATGATGATGGTGATGACGATGCTGCTGATGATGATCATGATTCTGATGATGAGGATGATGTTGCTGATGATGATACTGATGATAGTGATGATGCTGATGATGATGATGCTGCTGATGCTGCTGGTGCTGCTGCTGATGATGATGATGCTGCTGATGATGATGATGATGATCACGATGGTGATGATCATGATCATGATGAGGAGGATGATGAGGTTGAGGATCATGAGGAGGAGGAGGATGCTGCTGCTGCTGTTTCTCATGATGCTGCTGCTTCTCATGATGACGACGTCGATGACGATGCTGATGACGGGAATGAGGATGAGGATGATGCTGATTATGATGATGCTGCTCGTGATGATGATGCTGGTGATGACGATGATGCTGGGGATGATGATGCTTCTGATGATGATGACGATGATGGTGACGCTGATTCTGATAATGATGCTGATTATGATGAGGATTCGAATGATGATGCGGGTGCGCATGAGGATGCTGATCATGATGGTGATGATTGTGATGATCATGATGCTGATCTTGATGATGATGCTGATGCTGATCATGATTATGCTGATAATGCTGCTGATGATGATGGTGGTGATGATGATGCTGCTGATAATGCTGATGATGACAACACAAGGACGATGACGATGTCGCTGACGATGATGATTCTGATGATGATGATGCTGCTGATGATGATGACGGTGCTGATGATGATGATGATGTTGTTGATGATGATGCCGATGCTGATGCTGATGCTGATGATGCTGCTGATGATGATGATGAGGACGATGGTGATGAGGATGATCATGATGATGCTGGTGATGCTGATGATGCTGATGATGATGATGATGAGGATGAGGATGCTGCTGCTGATGATGCTGATGATGATGATGCTGCTGATGCTGATGCTGCTGATGCTGATGATGTTGATGATGATGGTGCTGGTGCTGATACTGATACTGATGCTGATGATGATGCTTGTACTGCTGCTGCTGCTGATGTTATTGCTGATGCTGCTGCTGATATACTGATTGCGAATATGATGCTGAGGAATGCGACGACGATGGTAATGATGGCAATGTTGTTGATGAGGATCACGATGACGACGACGATGATGTTGGTGATTCGTGGATGTGATGGCCAGTATTATCGTATTTTTATGACGCTGCGGAATATGCGGAGGGGGCAGAACCAGGGGAGTTGGAGGAGGATCATAATTGTGTGGAGGAGCACCCGGATACGGACGAGGATGAGGAGGATGAGAAGGAGGTTGAGGAGGAGGAGGAGGTGGAGGAGAACGGGGACGAGGATAGGCAGCAGCAGGACGAGAGGGGAGTGGGCGGGGTGAACGAGGAGACGTTGAAGAGAGATGCCAGGGGCGTTGCGTCCGCAAAGGGGAGGGCTGCAGCCCTCCCCCCCCGCAGGCGGCGGGAGCCCTACGACCGGCGGCTTGCCGCAGAGCAGGCGGTGGGGGGGGGTCAGCATGGTCGGCGACTGCAGACGGTGTGGTTGTGTGCGGTCTGGCCGAGGTATGAGATCGCGGTCGGTTCGGGAAGTTTTGGTGCATCCTGGGTGAGGGTACTCTCGAGTGATCTTATGGTTTGGGGTGTTTTGGCCGGCCGAGGGTCTCATGTTCTTGAAGGATGTTTCTTCTGTCCTCGGTCCGACCGTACGCAAGGGTGTGGTTTGCGAGTCGCGTCATGGAGCTTGGGGGCACCACGCTGCCCTCGTCGGGCCTCCTCGGGGCGCGGCGGAGAACTCTGTCGAGGTCCTCGCCCGCCCTCCAGGGTGCGGGTTGCAAACCCAAGGGCGCCCTCGAGGGCGCGAAGTTATTCGCGCTTCGCGCTTCGCGGTTCGGCTCCGATTCCTCATCCTCCTCTTCTCCCCTGGGAGGCGGCGCGAGAGCGCGAAGTTATTCGCACTTCGCGCTTCGCGCAGCGCGAAGCGCGAAGCTGGGAGCCCTTGCAAACCGCACTCTTTGCAAGCCATTCCCTCTGGAGTCGCCTACAGTGTTGCCCTGAGGGTCGCCGACGGGGTGGATTCGGGCGGGGCCAGAATTGGGGTCAAATCTTTCCAGAGCTCAAGGAACAACTGCGTAAACATAAACTTTAGGAGGTCCGCGGATTTCTCGGATCGGTGCTTGAGCCCCCTGACAGCGCCTCCGTCACCGCCCCCGGCGCGCTCCACGCGCCAGGGAGTGGGCTTCAGCGCCGCTCCAAGGAATCCGCGCGGACCTCCGAAAGTTTTGCTTATGCAATGGTTTGTTCCTCTTGGACTTTTGGACAAATCGTTGCAGAGTGTTCCGGAACTCTCTGAACATCCTGGGGCGTTCTGGAACGGCCGCGGCGCCCGATACATCCACCAGAGCCGCTGGCTCTCGGAGGTCCCCGATTTGTCCCAGCTCGGGCCGCCGCGCGGCGCAAGCTGCGTCAGGCTCAGACGCCTGCTGCCCTCCCTCTGAGGTCGGGGGGGGGCACGTGCCCAGACGTCCGGCGTCTCAATCTTTTCGGGACACGGGCCCCCGAATTCTCGACCATGTCCTTGGGATCGGTTTTTCGAGCCCGAGTCGTTTTTGGACAGCCCCGAGTCCCGGTAAGGTCCCCGAGGGGCCGCGAGCGATGCAAAACCCCTCCATCTCGATTTTTTCGAGACTGGGTGGAGGTGAGGGAGCTCCCCTTGGAGGAGGAGGAGGAGGAGGTGGAGGAGGAGGCCGAGGAGGAGGAGGAGGAGGAGGACCAGTGTAAACCCAAGAATCATCAACGATGTTGGAATAAACTTCCCCTCAAATCTCCCTCTTCGTAGGCCCCTACAACGGTTCATGTCCATTGAGGGAACTGCTTCGTTGGAAGACAATCGTTTGAAGATCCTGAAGCGTGCCAAAACACTGTTCTCGGAATTTCAGCGCCACGTATCAACCTGACTGCTGCGTCTTGACGATGCCGGAATCCTGCCATAACGTCATTTTTGGGACCTCGACACCGCGAATCAACATAAGTGTTGCGCCCGCATAATCCTGAATCCTTCCATAACGCAATGTCTGGTACGCTGATCATGTGAATCCGTAAAACGTTTGCAAATTTGTAAGACGAATTTGCGCGGCGCTAAGGCGAGAGCCACATTTTGAAAACCACCCGCCCTTAATCCTTGAACCCTTTGCAAATGTTTAAAGTGAATGTGCGCGGCGCTAAGGCGAGAGCCACATTTCGAAAACGACACGCCCTCAATCCAGGAAGCTTTTGTACATTCTTAATGAGAATGTGCGCGGCGCTATGGCGAGAGCCATATTTTGAAAAGGAACCGCCCTCAATCCGTGAAGCTCTTGCCATTTTTGGCAACGAATATGCGCGGCGCTAAGGCGAGAGCCACATTTTGAAAACCACCCGCCTTCAATCCGTAAGACTCTTGCAAATGTGTAAAACGAATGTGCGCGGCGCTAAGGCGAGAGCCACATTTTGAAAACCACTCGCCCTCAGTACGTGAAGCTTTTGCTTCGAATGTTTAAAGTGAATGTGCGCGGCGCTAAGGCGAGAGCCACATTTTGAAAAGGAACCGCCCTCCATCTGTGAAACTATTGCCACCTTTTAAGCTTCAGAGTCATACATGGTGAGGAAGTCTCAGGCAAAACGCCCAGCCCGCCCTGAAAACTGGCCTCGGGGTGCGACAGGGGGAAGTTATCTATAAGGAGAAGGAATGGAGGAGGAGAAGGAGGAGGAGGAGGAGGAGGAGGAGGAGGAGGAGCGAGGAGCGAGGAACGAGGGGCGAGGAGCGAGGAGCGAGGAGCGAGGAACGAGGATGATGAGGAGCGAGGTGCGAGGAGCGAGGAGCGAGTTGGATGAGGAGCGAGGAGCGAAGAGCGAGGAGCGTGGTGGAGGCCCTGCTCCTGGATCAGGAGCCGGGAGAGCCAGACGCCCTTCCTCGGATCGGGTGGCGCAGGCCGCCGCCGCGCCGCCGCCGGCGCTGCTCGCCGCGGGCAGCGCCGCCGGAGGCCCCGCCGCCGCCCGGCGCCGGCCCCGCAGCCGCCCGGTGCCGGCCGCTGCAGCCGGGCATTTTCGCCGCCGCTGCCGCCGCAGCCAGAGGGCCCTCTCCTCCTCGCTCTTCCTCCTCCGCCTCCTCCTCTTCCCTCTCCCGCCTCTTGCCTCCTCCTCCTGCTCCTCCTCCTCCTCCCCCTCCGAGCTTCAAGCACATGTACTGAACATTCATCGAGGCTCTCCTGACGCGACCCGATGTCGTGTCGGTGGCCGCAGCCTGGGATGTCTGTGATTCGGTGGTAGGATCTTGGTATTTTGCCCCGTGCATACTTCTGCAAACCACATTCCTGAACTCTTGGGAGAAACACGTAATCTTGATCAGGTTCTGTTGGCAGGCACCCAACAGGTCGAGCATAATCCTCTTGTCCCGCACGTGCAGATCTCGTTGTGCAGGACGCCTGTGCATCGCGGCGCCCTTCCACCCGACGCCGCTCAGCAACCACAGCTGCGGATGCACACTCGCCTTCAGTCCGCAAGTAACTAACCAGCATCTTCTACGATTTTCGTCGCCTCTCCCTGAGGCTCAAGGACGGGCACTGGCACTGGCGGCGCGCGTGAAGCACGGCTCGATCGACATGCGTGGTGCACCCCCCCCCTCTGCAGAAGAATGCATTCGCGCGTGCTCGTCTATCGCTAATTGGGCGTTTCCAAGGATCCCGTGCAATATATGCGACGAAGTGCACAGGCGCGCGTTTTCGCGCGCGCATGCCGAAAGCCTTCAGAAATCTTTGGCTTCGTAATGATTCAAATCGCGTATCCCAAACACATATAACATCGTACCGTTTCGCAAAAGTGGTTTCTATGAAGAGCTCGCGCTCGTAGCCTTGCGAATTCTTCAGATAACCATCGTTTTTGCTGTTGTTGTTGTTGTTGTTGTTGTTGTTGGTGGTGGTGGTGGTGGTGTTGTTGTTGTTGTTGTTGTTGTTGTTGTTGTTGTTGTTTTTTATATTTAAAACATATTTTCACAACGTGCTACCAAACGGTCTTCGCGCGCGCGTGGCGAAATCGTTCGAGCGCCCTTGCGCGCGTTTTTTTCGCAATGATCTGTGGCAATAAGTGGGGCGAAGTGCGCGCGCGCTTTTCGTCGCGCGCGCATGCCGGAATCTTTCAAAAACGCTTGGTTGGTCAGACTTTCGAAACCGAGTGCCCCGACGCCACGTAAAAACACGCGCATGGTTTCGCGATGGCAATTGCAGCAGTTTGCGTAGATTTTCAACGTGCCCATGGAATTCTGCCAAGCGGGCCTGTCGCGCCGCGTGCCGAAATCATTCGAACACCTTCGAGCGCGTGCTGGGGGGGGGCGCGATCCGCGTCGCGTATTGCTATGCGGGTGATTCTCGCGCGTCGGCCGCGCGTGCATGCCGAATTCTTTCCAGAACCTTCATCGCCGACGCGAGGACATGTTCGTCCTTGGCGGCGGGCGTGATCAACGTCGGTGCCGTCATTGGCCTTGCCGTCGTCGTCGCCGCCGCCGTCGCCGTCGTCGCTGACCTCATGATCGCGTTGACCGACGTTGGCGTCGCCGCGGCGCCGCGCCCGCCCAAGTTGCCGACCCGCGCTGAAGTGCCCGCTGGGAGCTCAGCGGCCAGCGCCACCGCGGTCGCGTCGGCATCGCCAGACCAGCTAGCCGCCTTGCTCGCGCGCGCACGCGCGGGCTGGCGCGACCGCGGAGATGCGCCGGCGAACTCCGCGCACTCCTCGCACGCGCCTCCGCGGGTTCTGTATGCCAAGTTGCGGGTGGGCGGGTGGGGTGATTGCGCGGGCGGCGGGGTTGGCAATTTCAAGTTGAGCATTGGTGAATTGCGCCGCGTGCGTTGGCCTCGTAGATTGCGCCGCCATGCTTGCGGGCGTGGGCCCGGGCGGTATGTTTCGAACAGTCTATGTGGTGTTATCAACGTGGGGTAATTAGGTTGTGCAATCTATCTGTCAATGTGGTGCGCTCGGTGCGTCGCCGTCTTCGACGTGCAATATCTATTGTTTGGCGTAATATATATGGTGCTATTAATTCCTGATTGCAGTGAGATGTCGACCCCGATGCTCTTGCCGGCGTCCCTCCCGCCCGCGACGTGGTCTGCAAAGCCCGTGCAGTGGCGATTGCGATGCATGTTTGGCGTTGGGCGGGGGGGGGGGGGGCGTCTCGGCGGCCGTGCCAGCCCTGGCGCGCGCGCAGCGGCCAGCTAGCTGCTTGGCGCGGCCGACGCGGCCGCGGCGGCGCTGACCGCTTGGCGCACCCCAGCTGGCGTTTCAATGCGAGTCGGCAACTTGGGCGGGCGCGGCGTCATGGCCGCGCCGACTGCGGCAGACGCGGCGGTGGTAGTGGCGATGTTGGCGACGATGGCGCGGCCACTGCGGGCGCTGGTGCTGATCGCGCCGACGAAGATGGCGCGGCGTCATCGCGTCGGCGATGAAGGTTTCGGGGAGAGTTCGACGTGCGCGCGCGGCCGACGCGCGAGAGTGGCCCGCCGCGTGGTTTTATGTTGCGCGGATCGTTCCCTCCAGCAAGCGCGCAAGGGTGCGCGAATGCTGTCGGCATTCGGCGCCGGCAATCCGCTTGGCGGGATTTCATGAGCATGTTGGAAAATTATGTTCCACGTCGTTCGCAAGAGCGCGCGCGCAATCTGTTTTGTTTTGAAAGTGATGTTGCGCAACCATTTGTTATGTATGGTATGTGTGTATCTACATATAGTCGGTTTGGTTCTTATATCCTCGCGAAAACGACGGTTGTTTTCAAGTGCTTGGGCATGCGCGCGCGACGGCGCGCGCCCGTGTACTTTGCTTCTTTTTTCGCAAAAGGATTCTCGCGACGGCGCGCCCGCGAATCGCCGGCCTGCGCCGGTCGCGGCAACGAGTGAGCGCGCGTCCTCAAGAGAAAGCACTGCAAACCACGATGATTTACTACAGCGGGGAACGGATGCATTAAATTGCGCCGCCTAATCAAAGCAAGACAAAACATCATTTCGTCGGCGCAAACGCCCGTTTACTAAATTCAACAACGGGTTTTCTCAATCCGGGGCCGCTGTTCTAAATCCCAGATCCTATCATGACCGTGACATGAACGCCTCGATCATCAAAGGCGTTCGAACGATTTCGGCGCGCGCGCGCGCGAAGCCCGTTTGGTTGTATTTTCTGGAAATGTTGAACAACCCATGGCTCTTTGATGAATTAGCAAGAGCCCGCGCGCACGCTAAACAAGCAAATTTGCGTTGCGAAACCATCGGTTTTTATTTTTTCAGGGCGCTCGCTTCTGAAATCCTTCCGACACCGAGAGTTTGTGAAGGATTTCGGCATTCGCGCGTGACGATGCGCGCGTGTGCACTTCGTCCCTCTTTTTTCGGGGGGTTAAGGGGTCTTTAACGCGTGTGATTTTTTGTGGAACCAGAGTGCGAGCATCGTGCTTTTCCGCAGGATGGCGGGGGGGGGGGTCGATACCGGCCCGGCTGGGACGGTTCGAGTTCATATCTAGGATGGGCGATAGGGCATAATCGTATGTAAATTGCATTTCGGAAAGGTGGACCGATAAACCCAGAGGGGGTAGAGTCCAGAAAGGAGAATTGATTCTTTCACAAGCGAGTTGACACATTCCACGCTCTTGCAAACATCCCACCCACCCATCCGCAAATTGGTTTGCAAAACCCATGCGGCGGCGATTGTGATGACTGCTTGGCGTTGGCTGGTGCATCCCTGCGGCCGCGCTAGCCCGCGCATGCCTGCGCGCGCAGCGGCCAGGTAGTTTGGCGTGACCGACGCGGCCGCGGTGGCGGTGACCGGTGGGCACTTTCCAACGGGCACATCGGTGCGAGTCGGTGTCTTGGGCGGGCGCGGTATCGTGGCGACGCCGACAACGGTAAACGCGATTACGGGGGAACGACGATGGTGACGATTGTGGCGATGACGACGGCAAGGCCATTGACAGCGCCGATGTTGATCACGCCCGCCAGTAAGGATGACGATGCCTTCGCGTCGGCAACGATGATTTTTGAAGGAGTTCGACATGCGCGCGCGGCCGACGCGCGCGAGTAGCCCGCGTGTTTTGATTTAATACGGATCGTGCCCCCGCCCAGCGCGCGCAAGGGCGGGTGGTCGAATGACTTCGGCATGCGGGAACCCCAGAGTGGAGACATTGTTGGGGAACAAGTTTCACAACATAGATTTCACCACTTAGGTAGTACAACGCCGATTCGTGTACGTGTATTGCG